TACATCTTATATTCATCTATCCTTCCTTCTTTCCTTCCTTCATTAATTTTCCCTCCTTCCTTCTATATTGTATCTTTCCTTCTAGTCTTATGTGTGTTTTCTGTGTTCTCTCTTCATTCATTCTTTCTCTTTTTTCTCCTTTCTTTCCGTCCTTCCTTCCTTCCTTCATTCATTCATTCCTTCCTAATTTCATTTTTTCTTCTCATAAATTACTCCTACTTCCTTCATTCTTTCGTTTTTCCTCCTGGTCTCTGTATTTAATTCTTCTTTCATCTTTCCTCTTCTTTAAGCTGGCCCTTCCTTCTATCCTTCTCAAACACAGATTTCCTGCTTTTCTTCTGTTTTCTTACGAGAAGCATTCCTTCTTCACTTTTCGCCCTCTTATTGCTTCAGTATTCTTCATTAATCATTCTTTACAACTTCCACTCCTTCATTAATCCTTATTCCACCTTGCTCTCCTTCATTAATTATACCTTCCATCTTGCTCTCCTTCATTAATCCTGCTTCCACCTTGCTCTCCTTCATTAATCATTCCTTCCATCTTGCTCTCCTTCATTAATCATTATTTCCAACTTCCACTCCTTCATTAATCCTTATTCCACCTTCCTCTCCTTCATTAATTATACCTTCCATCTTGCTCTCCTTCATTAATCCTTCTTCCACCTTGCTCTCCTTCATTAATCATTCCTTCCACCTTGCTCTCCTTCATTAATTATACCTTCCATCTTGCTCTACTTCATTAATCCTTCTTCCACCTTGCTCTCCTTCATTAATTATACCTTCCATCTTGCTCTCCTTCATTAATCTTTCTTCCACCTTGCTCTCCTTCATTAATCATTCCTTCCATCTTCCTCTCCTTCATTAATCATTCCTTCCATCTTGCTCTCCTTCATTAAACATTCTTTCCAACTTCCACTCCTTCATTAATTATACCTTCCATCTTGCTCTCCTTCATTAATCCTTCTTCCACCTTGCTCTCCTTCATTAATCATTCCTTCCATCTTGCTCTCCTTCATTAATCATTCTTTCCAACTTCGACTCCTTCATTAATCCTTATTCCACCTTGCTCTCCTTCATTAATTATACCTTCCATATTGCTCTCCTTCATTAATCCTTCTTCCACCTTGCTCTCCTTCATTAATCGTTCCTTCCATCTTGCTCTCCTTCATTAATACTTCTTCCACCTTGCTCTCCTTCATTAATCATTCCTTCCATCTTCCTCTCCTTCATTAATCATTCTTTCCAACTTCCACTCCTTCATTAATCCTTATTCCACCTTGCTCTCCTTCATTAATTATACCTTCCATCTTGCTCTCCTTCATTAATCCTTCTTCCACCTTGCTCTCCTTCATTAATCATTCCTTCCATCTTGCTCTCCTTCATTAATCATTCTTTCCAACTTCCACTCCTTCATTAATCCTTATTCCACCTTGCTCTCCTTCATTAATTATACCTTCCATCTTGCTCTCCTTCATTAATCCTTCTTCCACCTTTTGCTCTCCTTCATTAATCATTCCTTCCATCTTGCTCTCCTTCATTAATCATTCTTTTCCAACTTCCACTCCTTCATTAATCCTTATTCCACCTTGCTCTCCTTCATTAATTATACCTTCCATCTTGCTCTCCTTCATTAATCCTTCTTCCACCTTGTTCTCCTTCATTAATCATTCCTTCCATCTTGCTCTCCTTCATTAATCCTTCTTCCACCTTGCTCTCCTTCATTAATCATTCCTTCCATCTTGCTCTCCTTCATTAATCTTTCCTTCCATCTTGCTCTCCTTCATTAATCATTCTTCCACCTTGCTCTCCTTTATTAATCATTCCTTCCATCTTCTCTCCTTCATTAATCATTCTTTCCAACTTCCACTCCTTCACTCATCCTTATTCCACCTTGCTCTCCTTCATTAATTATACCTTCCATTTTGCTCTCCTTCATTAATCCTTCTTCCACCTTGCTCTCCTTCATTAATCATTCCTTCCACCTTGCTCTCCTTCATTAATTATACCTTCCATCTTCCTCTCCTTCATTAATCCTTATTCCACCTTGCTCTCCTTCATTAATCATTCCTTCCATCTTGCTCTCCTTCATTAATCCTTCTTCCATCTTGCTCTCCTTCATTAATCATTCCTTCCATCTTGCTCTCCTTCATTAATCTTTCCTTCCATCTTGCTCTCCTTCATTAATCATTCTTCCACCTTGCTCTCCTTCATTAATCATTCCTTCCATCTTGCTCTCCTTCATTAATCATTCTTTCCAACTTCCACTCCTTCACTCATCCTTATTCCACCTTGCTCTCCTTCATTAATTATACCTTCCATCTTGCTCTCCTTCATTAATACTTCTTCCACCTTGCTCTCCTTCATTAATCATTCCTTCCACCTTGCTCTCCTTTCATTAATTATACCTTCCATCTTCCTCTCCTTCATTAATCCTTATTCCACCTTGCTCTCCTTCATTAATTATACCTTCCATATTGCTCTCCTTCATTAATCCTTCTTCCACCTTGCTCTCCTTCATTAATCGTTCCTTCCATCTTGCTCTCCTTCATTAATCCTCCTTCCATCTTGCTCTCCTTCATTAATCATTCCTTCCATCTTGCTCTCCTTCATTAATCATTCTTTCCAACTTCCACTCCTTCATTAATCCTTATTCCACCTTTGCTCTCCTTCATTAATTATACCTTCCATCTTGCTCTCCTTCATTAATCCTTCTTCCACCTTGCTCTCCTTCATTAATCATTCCTTCCATCTTGCTCTCCTTCATTAATCATTCTTTCCAACTTCCTCTCCTTCATTAATCCTTATTCCACCTTGCTCTCCTTCATTAATTATACCTTCCATATTGCTCTCCTTCATTAATCCTTCTTCCACTTTGCTCTCCTTCATTAATCATTCCTTCCATCTTGCTCTCCTTCATTAATCCTTCTTCCACCTTGCTCTCCTTCATTAATCATTCCTTCCATCTTGCTCTCCTTCATTAATCTTTCCTTCCATCTTGCTCTCCTTCATTAATCCTCCTTCCATCTTGCTCTCCTTCATTAATTATTCCTTCCATCCCGCTCTCCTTCATTAATCATTCCTTCCATCCCGCTCTCCTTCATTAATCATTCCTTCAAAATTTTTCTCCTTCATTACCATTCCTTCCCTCTTGCTCTCCTTCAGTAAACATTCCTTTCAACTTCCTCTTCTTCATTAAACTTTCTTCCATCTTGCTCCCCTTTATTAATCATTCCTTCCATCTTGTTCTCCTTCATTAATCCTTCTTCTAAATTCCTCTCCTTCATTATCATTCATTCCATCTTGCTCTTCTTCGTTAATCATTCCTTCACCTTTCTTAAACATTTCGACTTTCCTTCTGTTCTCTCTTTTTTTTAATCTTTTATTTCCACTGCTCCTTGACTTCCGTCATATCCTTTAGAATATTTTTCCTTCTGTGCTGCTTTCTTCTTCTTTCTATCATTTCATTTTTTTTCATCTTTTTATTTAATTCTTCTTCCTTCTGGTTTTCTTTTCGCTAATCCTGGTTTTACTTCTGACCTTCCTACCTTCATTTTTTTTCCTTTTGTTCTTCATTTCGGTCCTTCATTTAGCATTACGTTTTTTGCTTCTCTTTATTTAACACCTCCTCCTCCAACATGGTATCTTTTTATTAAACTTTTCAGGTTCTCAGATGTGCGCAACACGATCTTACTTATCCACGATACAGAGCTATTTTCAGGCAATATTAAAAACATGGGTAATTATCTCGATAAGTATTCCGGAAGAAATCAAAATAAATAATCAGACGAGTCTATACTCATAGTTTACCTTTCCTCGCCTCGTTCTGGAATATTTAAGCGCCAAATCGAAAAGCCTTTCTTAAGAGGGGGGGGACATTCAACGAATAATAATACATTGTGCCACCATCTTAGAATTATAGAGCTGTCAGATTGCCGCCATCTTGTCTCTGAATCGATAGCGAGGCCATAATCACTAAAAAGGTTTTTTTTTTTTTTTTACATTGAACGTTTGTACACAGAGACACACTGGCGCTTATAAGGAGGATAAGAAGGAAATACGGTAGTGTGTGAGAAGTGCAAAAGTACTCGATAATGAGAAAATAGTTTTCATTTTGAAGCCTCTTTTAATAAGAATAACCAGATTCTTCCCGCGCAATCTTCACTGATATCCAGACAAATCATCACCTCTGCAAATTAGCGCTCGCTCACCTTAAAACCCAAAATAGATTCGGGAAAAAAAAGGCCTTTTGGTGTAGTTTAAGAAATGCCACCTGTTCCGACTTTAAAGTCAATAATTCATCTGACCCGATAAAATTAACAAGAGCTGAAAAACGAAATCTATTCTTGACACGATCGCAGGCCAAGCTGAAGAAATATTCCGAAAAAAATATCCAAACATTCTTAGAACAAAAAAAAAAAAAAAGGAAATTAAATCCCACTCTAGAAGATAAGGAAGGGTACTCGATAGGAAGGATTACCGTTTCTATAGATGGTAATCTCAAAATGTTTAATCTCTTTCTATGCCAATTCTCATCAAACACTAATCAGTATATTTCAAAATGCCATCTACTCAGAACTTTATGAGATTGTCCAACTCAAAAAGTGAATTCCAAATAATCTATGTATCTATTATTGGAAATCTTCCTTTGATATATTACTAGACATAGATCATTTTTATAGAGGAGTTTTACAAATTTAATAGCAATCGATTTTTAAACTTAAATAAATGTACAGTAATCTGCTTGTTTAACAGCATATCAACCTCAATGGGTTATTTAATGCCGACAAGATTTTTATTGCTGGTGATATTTTTTTTTTCAAAAATCTATTGCTGGTAAAATTTTTACTCAAAAAAATTATTGCTAGTTTTAAAACCTATTTTTACACTTTCATAGTGTTTTGACGCCATTTTGGGGGTTCACTATTTGCCCATAGCTGGGACCCTAACAGGTGCTATCACCACGGGTCAAGGTGAATCTGGGAACACCAGCAATTAAAAGG